GTGTTTTCTTCTTCTCATGTAGAAGTCTTAAAATAAATTCGGCTTCATAAGAATACAAAAACAAGTCAGCTAATAAAGAGCACTATTAGTGCCCATCGAAATTCCAAAAGTTTGTTAAAAGACCACCGGGTCTCCGAAGACTACAAAAATGTCAAAAAGGAACTCCAGCATCCTTTTGATATCAACTTCAAAGTAAATTTGTGTAGAATCAGAAGACTTCATTTTTAACAAAGTAATTTTGTCGATGACCAATCACAAGATACGAAAATTTCCGAGTTCTATTTTATTGAAGAAGCAGTTGTCTGTGATATCCAAAAAGCCTAGTTTTTAATGAAGTATGAAGATAACGAACAGTATTCAATCTCGAAATTCCAATGAAACGATACAAATTTGAAGCAGAGCAAACACAGACCTCAAAATTTAGAGGTGGGATCAGGTGCCATGGAAGAGTGAGCATCCCCTGCCGGCTGGTCACACCCGCCGTGTGCCTTGTCATGATCGGAAGAAAAACCCGGAAAATTCCGTAGAAAGTTCAGTGTATATATAAAATACAGGGCTACTTTCTTGAAACATAAGCGATATTTGGGCGAGGGTAAGAAAACGTGATAGAGGGCGAGGCTTGCCGAGTCCTCTATCACGTTTTCGACCCGAGCCCAAATATCGCTTATATTTCAAGACAGTATCCATGTATTTTGTTTATCCTGCAATATATTTTTTATATCAGACCTCCAAAACGAGCTATTTTTAATCGATTTAGGTACATCTTTTCAGTTGAAACTAAGACTCCACGGCAATGTGTATGACGTCACAATGCTTTTAGAACGTCCGAATACATGCACGAGGCTTTAATTATTAGGGCATTGACCGAATAAAGCTTTGGTTTATTAGGATACCTTTACTAGGTCAATCCAAGGGGTAGATGCAGGATAAAAATAATGGCCTAACAATTAGTATGAAAAACGTCAGTCAGTATTTGACTCAATGATAGGTTGTATGTGCTGACAAACTTGCGAAATGATAACTTCAAACGAGACTGTTGATATTCTTGTTTCATCAACTTGTTTGTTAATAGCTTGCCTCGTTTAAGAAATTGTTCATACGTAGAGCATACTCGTGCCTATCGAATCACGCAGCTGAGACATAAATTTATAGTGCGGAATAGTTGTATAAAGTGTAGAAACGTCGTTCGTTTTGATGTTATAAAGGAGTAAATATGTGATAATACAAAATATATAATTTGTAAATAAAATAATAACATTTAAAACATTTAAATTATATTTAAGACATCTAAGAAAAGTTATAGTCAAGGAAGAATGCTACACAAAAAAAAATTAATGGATCTTTAAGACATAAAAGGTGCATGCGTGTGTTCATGTCAGGGATGCAACAATATATGATAATCTTTAAGAAACAAGTCACAAATAGGAAAAATATAATGCCCAATCAAATTTTAAAAAGAAATTGAAATGAAAATTTGAAACTTAAGAAAGATTGCTATTTTCAAATTTGAACCAACCCCGATTGAAATTAAACATATCCCGATCAAAGTCGATGCAAAATTCATAATTACTAAATCGTGTCACTATCTTAACATAGAATGCGGAAGGTACCAAGGCAAAAGTAGAGAGGATAGATTATGCGATGTTTGTAATACACGTGAAATAGAAGACGAATTCCATTTCATTCTTCAATGCCCTAGATATCTAAATTTAAGAAAAAAAATATATAAATGAATATTATTACAAATCGCCAAGTACTTTTAAATTAATCCAATTGTTGGGTACCAACCGCATATCTACTTTAGTTGGTTTAGGGAAATATATTCATTATGCTCTAATATTACGCAACGAAGATCAATCAGGTTAACCTAATTTCTATCTATGTAAGGTTTATATTTTCAGATGTCTGTACATTAAAACATCATTGCTATACATTGTATTATAACTTTGAATTATGTATTGTGCTGCTTATTGTATTGTACTTAATTTGTTCAATATATACTATTGTATACTATAAATGAGTGGAACTGTGGGACTGAGGAACACTTGACCAGGGGTTTCACCCCCCTATTTAGGCTCACTGAGAGTCTTAAATTTTGTAATATATCTTATTATATGTTATTTTTGTAAACTGATGGGCTGTATTGCCCAAAGTTATATCCTGAATAAACTAATTAGAAATCACTGCCTATCTCATGCAGTTTCTACTGAGGTGTCCATTATATTGCTAAGTTAAATTATTTTTGAAAACCATCAGGGGCGGATTTAGGATTTTTTATTTGTTTTTCCGGGGGGGGGGGGGGGGTTCAGACTCGTGAATTTTTTACAAGGGGAAGGAGAGGGGTCGAGGAAGAGAAAACACTTTCCTACGCCAATTGTCTTGAAATACCTGACTCTCCTTACCGTTTTAAAGTTTCTTCGAGGGGTCCAAGGCCATTTTTTTTTTGGTTACTTTTACATTGAAATATAATAACTTTGAAAAGTCCACAACCTCCTCCCCAAACCCAAACCTCTAGATCCACCCTTGAACCATAACACATTTCAATTAAACTAGTATTCTTGTGAAATTGTTATATATTTCAATTTTCTATAATTCTGGTTCGAGGTTGAATTTTGATCGGGATTTGTCCAAATTTGAAAATTAACATTTTTTCTTAAATTTCGCAATTATATTCCAATTTATTTAAAAAAATACAATAGCCTGACATTTCTTTTCTTTACATAATTATCTATTTTCTCGGAGATTTCATCCATAGATTAAAAAATATTAATAAATTATATTTTTTCAATTCATAGATTATATTTCATTAAAAAATACAAAGGTCTCCTTACTCTTCTTGTCATGTTTTATTAGATATTTATATTAGGTATTTATTAATTATAACAGGAAACTTTAAAATCTGAAGCATCTTATTTGCAAATAAAACATTTTTTTTTGTTTACATTTTCTTTGAATAAATAAATAAATAAATAAATAAATAAATAAATAAATAAATAAATAAATAAATAAATAAATCAATCAATCAATCAATCAATCAATCAATCAATCATATAAAATAATTAGGACTGAGGTAATATCAATCTTTCCATGCTGAGACCATATTTTAAAAGATTCATTAAATGAGATTTTGGTTGAACATACAACCTTGTGAAAAAATAACTCAAAAAAAAAAAAAAAAAATTGGGCATGGATTGGTATATATTTATCAGGGATGGCAATTTGTAACCGGTTAACCGGTTAATCAGTCGGAATGATGGTAATGGGCTAGGAAATCTGTAATCGGTTAGTGGGAAAAAATGAAAAAATGTGTAAATTTCCTTAAAATTTAATATGCAATATTAAAAAAAACTATGAATGTTGATAAGTTATAACGTTTTCTCATATACATGTATTTAGATATAATTTATTAAGGCTCTTCGGACTGAGGTGTTGGGATAATTGGTCAATTTGTGAAGTGTTAATTGCTGTTTAAACACCACATCGTTACCCAGCCTGCCCTATATTTCTTTAATGATAATAATTAAATTACCGTTGAGTATTGTCAACTGATTACATTGTGTATCTTTTGCAGTTATTTGCCAAATTATATTTTCATGCAAACATTGTAAATTAAGTAATAGTGTAAACTTAGTTTCTAATTATGGTGACAATGCAGAATGACCGTGTGTAATGTCTGGGCCCCGGGGTCGTCAGAAAGTGACCAATGTCCCTGATACATGTATCTCATAGATGTTTTATGGTTTTCCTTTCGAAATTGAATTAAAATACGTAAGGTATACAGATTAAGCATAAACATAATGCCTTTTTTTTTTTTTAAATTTATATATCAATTTATTGCGATGTCGGAGGGAAGGGGTATGAATAGTGTTAATTAAAAAAAAAAACATGTCCAGAAATGTATATTTTGTAACGATCAACCGGTTAATCGGTCGGAACGTTTTTTTCAATTTGACAATTCTGTATTCGATTGCCATCCCTAATAATTATACATCCCGCTTTTCAAGCGGGGGTATATATTGATGGGGGTGTCCGTCCGTCCGTCCGTCTATCCATCCATTACTCATACATCTCCTATCCGCAACAAATATTTTCACAGAATCTTTATTACACAGTACCATCGTGCACAGCCTAATTTTACTTTTTGACTAGACACATGTTTCAGGTTTTCCATAGCAAAACATGGACACTGCCATTCTTTCTATAATATTGGAAGTACCCATCTCTTATCCGCAAATCCTCCTTTACCACTGAATTTAATGATACTTTCACAGAATCTTTATTACATAGTCCCATTGTGCATCTCCTACTTTATGGTTTGATCGGACATAGCAAAAAATGGACTTTATCATCATAGTTGGGAGCGGGGATATAATTTTGTGAGCCCAGTGCTTATCTGATTAATTGACACAAATAATTAATTCCTAAACTATGCGAAAATTTAAGTAATTCTTTGGTCTTCAAAATTGAGACTGTGTGTCATTTTCTTTATAACTCGATACAAATTTTCACACATTTTCTGACATTTTTAGAAAATCTGACATGATTTCTAATTTTACTCTGGCAAAAATTATTCAAGTTATCTATCTGAACTCAAGTCTACTAAACCTATTCTGATTTCTGAAAAAAAAAGTTTGTGTTATTTACCCTTAACACTAAGCCAGTCAGTCTTAATCTTTATGAAAACGGGGGGGGGGGGGGGGGCTTTGTTTTATTTTAAGTATACATGTTGAAGACGAATCGGTATCCGTTTTAGGTTCTTAGTATTAGAATTTACCAAATTTGGACAGATGACATTAACATACCTAACATTTTTCATATATTTATGTAAGTGAAACTTTAACGTAGCAAATTTGCCCAAGAAGTTGAAAGCGATTCTTTTTGGTAAAAGGAAGAATTAGTAATATTATAAAAAAAAGTGTAATCCGGAACAATTGGGAGTCGGAAATCATAAGTTCTTGGATCTATCATTTTACGTAACATTGTTGACATATTTATGTATGTGTGAATATATTTCAATGTTTAAACCGTGCCTGACAAGTATAAAGCGATTCTATGAGGAATATTAATAGAAAACCGAGAGAGTCGGGATTCAGCACTACTAGGTTTACCGCCTGCCAGAAATAGTTATGGCGGCGGCCAGTCCACCATGTCGAGTATGTAACCATTTACTATCCCCTAAACGCCGAAGAAGCATCTTTGGTAACACATTTGGCGTAATCAGTCAGTTAACCGAAGTTTTAGGATACACTCCAAGCTCAAGTGACTGCTTATCAAAGTATGTTTGCGATTATTGTTTTGTAAGATTGAGCAAGTTAGCCAAGGTCGATTACGATATCGAGCATTATCTTGATGCACTTAAGAAAAAGAGACTCAGCCTTATCAACGATCTCAGATCCCGATCCCAACAGGAGTCAGGTCCTACTCTCCGTAGCCTACAGTCTGTTGCAAATAGTTATGGAACTGTTCAGACGGGACAACCTTGCCCTACTGTTCTGAAACCAGAAGTGATCGAAAAATCTTCAAACTGTAGGAGAGTTAGAAAGTCCAGGAAGTTTCACTCTACAGTGTATAAGAAAATTGCACCAAAGCAACAAACTGACACTACAATAATAGAACCAGAAAAAAGCACAAAGGTCGTAGAGGTCAAAGTTAATTTTACTCTGTTCTCACCTGATCAGATAAAAGTGAGTGAATATATAATAAAATTAATTTGTGAAGTAATATATACATACTTGTATCTGTATCATCTGTCCGAGTCTCAGGTACATGTAATAGGGGTTACATGGAACAGTTTTTTTTTCACTTATTTATACTATATTTTACATATGGTTAATGCAATATCCTATTGTGGGTCCCACAACAAAAAAGTCATTTTTATTAATCTTATGTATACCTTAATTTGGTCACAAAAGGAGGGAGGCCTGCACCTCCTAAATCTGCCAGTGGGAATAACCATTTACCGGAGAAAAATGCTGGAGATTGCTCTAAAAATTCAATTGTTTGAGATATATTTTACTCCGTTTTCCTTTCATGTCTAACCCACAACCCACACCCCACTAAAACATAATCTCAGGTTTACCCCCTGGTTGCTACAAAGATACTTGTAAAAAATGGACCATTATTGTTATCTACTTTGAACTTATTTAATATTGGAAAAAGCTTGATCTTTAATATTCTTTTGCAGGAAGAGTTGAATTAAACCCATGGACGTTCACAGGCCCTTTAGCTATTATAATGATTTGAAACAAATTTGAATTTTTACTCTATGCATGGTAAGACTAGTCTACATACTTGAATTTGAAAAAAAAATGAAATGATGCTTCAGATAAAAATGTGTAGAAATGTAAGAGAATTTTGCAATTTATTATTTTTAAAGCATTTGGACATTTATTTTTACTCTGTCTTTGTCCCAAAGGGCATGATTTGAGCAATCTTGAATTTAAGCTACTTTCAATTGACTGATTTGGTCCAATATTTAAAAAAAAATCTTTTTTTTGTTTTTAAATAAAAACACATTCTTGCAATAGGTTTATCATTTTTTACCCTCTTTCAGGACATCCATTTAATATAATCTTGATTCTGTTTGTTGGTTTGTTATATAGGGACCTATGGTAAAAGATTCATCAGCAATTTTTTCGGTGCAGTGATTCAGACAGATGCTGGACATCCTTTTAAAGAATTTCCGTTTTACTTCATGTAAATAACTGAAATTGTGGTCTTATGTTTATTTTCTTAAACATTGTATTAAAATCAGAGTACATTACTGTACTTTATATAAACTACAGAGAGAAGACTTTTACATGCCATTGAACACCTAATTTGTGATAAATGAACTGATACATATATTCATTGTTACAAACTATGTTTTATTAAATGCTCCTAAAAGATGTGTTTTCTAAATCTTTTTTTCCCTCCTAATTTTGCACTCTGTGATATGATTACAAGGAAATCACCCTTGCAAACTTTCAAGTGAAGTTTATGTGCAATTGTGGTTAATAGCTTTTTATAGCAATACCTGATATGCAAATTTCCATATTCACATGGTCTTAAAAACCCTATAAATTGAAATAAGTAAATATGGTTAAATGAGTTGAGATATAAATATCAGCTAGTACTTTAGAGTGGAGAAACCATCAGTTGTTTTGCTGCAGTACATGTATATATGAATGATGTCCACGACAATTTCTCAAAATCTGCTGTTCTGTCTGTAAGGAAAAAAATACTGTAAAATCTAGAGAAGATATTACCAATACTGTAAAATCTAGAGAAAATTATCAATACTGTAAAATCTCCTAGAGAAGATTATTAATACTGTAAAATTCTCCAAGAAAAGATTATCAATACGGTAAAATCTAGAGAAGATTGCCAATACTGTAAAAATCTCCCAAAGAAGATTACCAATACTGTAAAAATAAAATCTCCCAGAGAAGATTACCAACACTGTAAAATCTCCCAGAGAATATTACCAATACTGTAAAATCTCCCAGAAAAGATTGCCAATACTGTAAAATCACAAAATTTTATGGGGTCAAATTTTTGTGGTTTGAGGAAAAACAATGGGTTCGTGGGGATTAGATTTCGTGGATTAAGTGTTTGCTGAGTAGTTGTGTATATGAAATTTTACATTTACTGGCGGGCATGAATTCATGGGTCTTTTCATACCTCGAAAACAACGAAAATAAACCCCAACGAAAATTAGTGGTTTCACAGTAAGTGCATGTATATATTACTAATCTAAGCTAATGAGAATCTTTATTCTGAAAAAAATTCTTACATACGTTAACGCTCAAATGAAGTGTTATTTGATCAAATGGAATTCATTCAGACAAATACATAAAACAAGAGAGACATGTAATCTAACGTAAGGCGCGATGTTAGTGCCATTTTACAATTTAAATACCACACCTTTAAAACCCATGGGTGATTTTAAAAACAATACTCGTAATATGGGTGAATTTGGTATAAATCAATAAGTTACAAATAGAACTTCTTGATTCCAGTCAGAAAATAACATTTAAATAGATTATTTGCAAAATATAGAAATTTACATGCAGCGCAAATTAAAGATATTTTAAGCGTGTAACGCGTTAGGTTCTTATGCAGGGATCGCACATTTTTCTTTGGTATACTGTATTCAAAAGTGATTCTCACAAAACAAGAACAATCCATGTCGTTTGTGAATTCGTTAACAATTCTGCATTTAATGGTGGCAAGAAAAAGAAAGCGATAGTTTTTATGGAAAAAAGAATCTGTAACGCAAATAATTAAAAACATGCATATGAATATAAACATTTATAATTTACTCAATTACAAGAAACTATAAGTAAAAACAAATATCAAAATAATGTACTTTTCTTATAGATTTGAAATATTTCATTAAGATTGATATCAGTCTGCATGATTTGAACATGTTCTATGACAGCTGCTTTTTTTTTTTTTTTTTTTTAAACTCGTTAATTTACTTACCTTGTCATTGGTCATTTACAAAATTATTTTGTTAAAAAAAAACATTCAGATTGTACACACAACTTTTCTGGAGTTGATATTAAAAAGATGCTTGGGTTTCTGATTGACAATATCTATGTGGTTTTTGGAGACCAGGTCTTCCAACAATCTGTTCGAATTTCCATGATTACCAATTGTGCCCCGTTGTTAGCAGGCCTATTTTTGTATTCACATGACGCAGAATTTATTCAAAATCTTATACAGAGGAAAAGAAATCTCTTGCTGTGGCTTTCAACTCGACATTTAGATATATCGACGACGTGTTATGAATTAGCAAATTATTTCTATTCATATGTCGACACGATATATCCAAGTGAGTTTGAAATAAAAGATACCACAGAGTCTGATACATCTGTTTCATATTAGGATATTTTACTAGAAAAAGACGTTAATGGTAATCTAACAACATAACTTGATGATAAACCTGATGACTTCAACTTTTCTATCGTCAACTTCCCTTACTTATGCAGCAATATACCTTTATCACCTGCATTTGTGGTGTATATCTCTCTTCGATACGCAAGAGCATGCTCTACGTAAGAAATCGTAAGCGGTAGCGTATCAGAACAGCTGATTTTAATCAGAAGTGGAACAATTTCTAAAACGAGATAACCTATTGACAAACAAGTTGGTGAAACAAGAATATCAACAGTCTCGTTTAAAGTCATCATTTCTTAAGTTCTATGGTCGATACAATGACCTTGTCATCAAATACAATCTATCATTAAGTCATGCTGACCGACGTTTTTTCATACTAATTGTTAGGCCATTGTTTACACACTCAATTGTCGACGGATATTTCCGTTATTTCCCGATCATGACAAGGAACACACGGCGGGTGTGACCGGTCGGCAGTGGATGCTCACTCTTCCATGGCACTTGATTCCACCTCTGATGTTTTAGGAGGTCCGTGTTTGTTCTGCTCCCGATTTGTATTGTTTTAATGGACTTTGAGCTTGAATATTGTTCGTTATCTCCATATTTCATTTTAGTGAATAGATGGATTACAAATTCAACAAAAATATCCAGGGTCTAAAATGATGTGCAAAGATAAGATCCGACTATATTTCGAGGGATAAAATTCTATTTTTTTTTTTATCGATTACAAAATTAATTATATGTTCATAATGTGCTAATCCAAACGTTCAGAATAGATGTTCGTTTGATAAATTTACTCATCTCGTCATCATTAAGCTTGATTGAGTTCTTAAGGCCAAGGCTATGAGTTCAATGTCTTTTATTTTAATATCCTCTTTACTTTCTAGGCTGTGAACTGAGATAAAGATTCTGAATCTTGAGACGTTACTTGATGTTGGTGACATTTTACGTTACGCTTTAATAGCGCTACGGAAGTATTGACGTAACGCTTCTAATAGTGCTAGTAGCTTGACTGGTGCCCTATCTCTATCTCTTTGCAGGTTATTTAGTCTGGAATCATGGCCTTAAGAATCGGGGGGGGGGGGGCACGGGGGGGGGCGTGCCCCCCCCCCCAATAGTTTTGCCGACATATAGATAACTATAGAAAACATAGCTACTATATGCTTGTGCCCCCTCAATAAAAACGTCTGATTTTTTTTTTTTTTTTTTGCTTGTCAAGGATTTTTTGTAGTTGATAGTGCCCCCCCCCCAACTGAAAATGTTCAGCTGTGCCTTCCCCCCCCCCCAACTGAAATTGCTTCCTACGGGCCTGGGAATGCTAAATTATGAACTTGACCTTAATTTTTGTGTTTGTTTTTTTTCCCTACATTTACAAACAATCTCGCCACTGTAGGTCTTATCTATCTCTAGACTCTCAACTTATTATCTTAATTCGCGTTTAAAACATAAAACAAATGAAATAAAGTTTTCAGAAAATCTGTATTTTAATATACACCAATCTCGTCTGTCGAAACTATTTTCAACGGGGCAATACTTTAATTACATAAGCACACATGTCCATCGTGCCCTAATGTTTATTCTTTACTAGAAAAAAAAAATCATTTTTGTGTTTTGTTTATTTTCTTGCACTTTTTTTTCAGGTGAGCGATATGGTCTATGTGCCTTTTGTTTATTTTCGTTTTCTTTCTTTTCTTTCACATTTTACTCCAGTATAGTTTTAATATAAACTTCCGCTCCGTGATCGGAAGGTCGTGTGTTCGAATCACGGCCGCGATTGTCCTAAGTCGATAAAACAGGTAGCAACTGTTCCTTCGCCTGAAAGTTGCGGATCCTTCGGATGAGACCTTAAAAACCGAGGCCTCGTGTCACGGTAGGCATTGGAACGATAAAGAACCCTCACTGCTCAATGGCCCTGAGTGCCGAATAAGGGTCTAAATTTGAAGCCCTTCACCGGTATATGGTGACGTCTCTATATGAGTGAAAAATTCTCGAACGGGACGTAAAACAACAAACAATCAATATAAACTTTAGAGTACTTGTGTGCAAGTCAGAATGATTTTTAATGAAGAATTAAATTTTGTCACGACATAATAACTCTTAATACGCGGATCTATGAAGTCTGATTTTAATTAGATTGGGCCAGAAGTTTGCATCCTCACAACGTTCATTCTATATCTTGCGGGCTGACTGTAGCGACATCTTTCTGGAAAATTACAAATTTTGATTGTTTTTCTTATTTCTCAACCAATCACATTAAGCCTTTCGTTGATAAACAATGCGTAACACGTGCATTTTAGGTGCATGTCAGCTGATTCCTTTCTGTTTA